TGATAAAACTATTGTAAGAATACGGTCCGGTAATCATACTGGTTTTTCGCAATAATTGAAAAGTTTGACGAGATCAAGTAAATAAAAATAAGCATTATTTAGTATAAGTACAATATTTATTTTTACTCCTTTTAATAGTGATATAAACCCATAAGACTTACAAATTATGTGGATACTAGTTGGTTTTCCCGATGAAATCAACTTTTATAGTCTCTATACACGAGAATTATCTATTCTTAGTATGGAAAATCAAGATATTGATAATGGTAAAATAAGCGTATTAGTAGATGTTCCCGAAAATTTACAGAAACTCTAGAATAGTGAGTTATAATCTTTCGGAAAACCATTAAAAACAAAATCTACAAGGCTTTCTGGTGCAATTACATTTTCTAGATTAATTTTTATAATTTTATTTCGATTTTTATTCTTTTTTTTGTTTATTGTTAGTGGAAATTTAGTTACGGTAATTAACATATACAGTATTTTAGAATAGTGAGTTTATTGGATCTTATGTTTTTAATGATCGCTTTTCATTTTAAAGAATCGAAGAAAAAAAAAATCACTAAATCAATTATGTTAGTAAATGATATTAATATCGATATTACATGATTTTCTACCCTGGTCAATTGGTGTCGATCTTTTTTGTTTTGATGAAATCTATTGGTGCTGATCGTACAATGATGTAATTACATCAAATCAACAATAATAATCAAAACAATGCCTTTGTTTTTTTTTTTACGTTTTTTATTTTTTTCTTACACTTTTCACATTTATATTTATGTAAAAAACAAATTTTTTATAAGATAAACTTTAAGAAACTTATCGATACATACAAGGTAATGTATCATAGATGTCTAGGTTGTTTTTATTAATAGATACTGCCAACACGTCTGCGGAACAAGTGGAAAGAAAAGCTTGCTTTTCTGGCAGGTCTATTAGTAAGAATTACATCTGGTTTATGGTACAGTAACTGAATAGTTGCTATTAATTGTATGTGTTTATTCATGACTTTTTAATCGGAGGTCGAAGATAATAGAAGCACTTCGGGCCACAACTCGTAACAGTCACTAGTTAGGCATTAAGACCTATAGTGAATGACTTGTTGTGAACGTCTATTTCTTCTTTCGACGGTTTTAAAGGTTACTATTTCGATTAATATTTTGATTTCTTGTTTGCAGGACTGACTAATTAAGGTAATTACTCCTTAAGAAGGTCGGGTGAACGGAAATTAGATATTAATCGTTGTAGGTGATGAACGGATGCATAAAATCAAGCAACTGGAAGCTCTTCGCGGCCACAGTAACTTTGTGGCCACAGTTACTGTGAACGTCCTTGTTTGGTTTTTCAATTATTATGCAATTTATTGACTTTTTTTTTTTTTTTTTTTTTATACCGGTATAAATATAGGTTATATTATACGAAATACGTAACGAAAATACTCAAGACTGACGAATCCAAATTAAATTTATTCAAGACTACGATTGTTATATAAAAAAATTAATATTTATTTTTTTAAAATAATTGTTTTTTAAATTTATGTAATTTTTTTTATAAATTTATTAAATATTTGAAAATCGGTCAATAAAGAACGTAAAAGTATACAAAATAAATTGTAGATTTTAAAAACATAATTTGTCAAAAAGTTATAAATATTGAAAGTAAATAAATGAAGTTTCAATTAATAAATCGATATCGTCGTTTATCACTTAATAAATTATTGTGAATATTTGATTTTACTTAAATTTTTTTATAACGAAAGAAATAGTATTAGGTTATAGAATCAAATTTTATACTAATTCAAAAATGATTAATGATATAGAGCTTTGCGCATGCGAAAAACATCTAAGAACATTAAAGAGTGAAACCAAATTACTTTCTACTAAAGAATAGCTTTAATCAAAGAAAATTTACGAAACATCAAATGCAATTTCGAGTCGTTCAATTAGGTTCAGTATTGTTAAAATTGGTCAAATTGTTCCAATTAATAATAAACTTTATTTTCAAAACACGCTTCAGTTATATATTCATTTGGTAATATACAAGTAGCATAGCGAAAGTATTAGAGGTTCGATCGCCAGACTATAGTAAATTTAATGATTCGAAGTCCTAATACTAAATCTGGTTATTCAAAGCGTGCAACAATATAATAATATCATAAGAAAGAAAATCTCTCAGACTCTCAATTTCATTTTAATCCTATATATTTCATCATGATTCGCAATAATAATTAATGTGTCAATGCACGATTAGTTGTGTAATTTATAATCATAATTCCAGGACTTGCACGAGATTTGCCACACGCATAATTTTATAACGACCGGATCATAATAGTAACGTTATTATATGAGCAAACATTATCAACGTTTAATCAAAAATGCTTTACTAGCACTCCTTCTATTAACAATACATACATAATCAGAAGAATTTATCAAATAATTCGATTATTAGTCTATTTTAATTAATTATCTATCATATATCAGATGTTCAATAGATAA